CGGCGGGACCAGGCGTCCCGCCGCTCCAGTCCTCCGGGGCGAGAAAATCCCCGTTCGTAACTGCGGATCCAACGTAAGTCGGATCCGCGTAACTCGGGGACTGCCTGTATTGTAGACCACTTCCAAAATCAGCAACTTTTATTATTTGATTCACATGTAAATTAATAGTTGTTAATTTTGTTCAGATACAGTATTTAGGAAACTTTCAGAAAAGTAAAAGTAATTTTTCACAGCCTACAGAGTGACTAAGATTTTTAGTTCTTTCCGTACCTTCTACTGAACTGAATAACAGAGCACTAGAAACTTTGCACACTAAAATAAGAGGATAGTTACCAATAATGAAGGGTTTTTTATTTGTAAAATGACAACACGTAAAATGAGCAAGTCTTAGATTTCATTTTTTATTCTGTTGAAATGATACTGGTATTATTCAAAGTGGGTGCCAGACCAGTCCATCACTTTTTTAAAAAGATAGCATCTCCCATTGTCTGACCATAATTTAACACTGCAAAGCTATACATTGAAGTGTGGTTGTAGTCATGTTGATCCCAGGATGCTAGACCCATAAAATGGACCAAAATGTACTCTACCTGTACATATCTTTCAAAGACACCATTAACAATTCGGTTAGAAAGTATTCATGTAGTAATACTTTGTCAATGCATTGCCCACAGATCTACAATGAATATTACCGTACATTGCACCAAATTTGTAGTCTATTTAGTTCCTGAGCGGAGAAAAAAATATGGACTAATTTCTACCAATGTTGGTAGCTTAAATAAAGGCTAATTATTTTGCCATCTTAATTCAAACAAAACATATCAATAGTCTACATAAAATCTAAATATACATCAACCGTAAACAGTTTAAAAATATTGGTTAACTAATAGCATTGTATGTATTCAGGAGTAAAAAAAAATAGTAAACAGATTTTAGAAGACATAAAAGTTTCTTACATTTTGGGAGGATTAAGACACAGCAAGAATTGGCGTTTGACAAAGCCATTCTCTTTAAAATGAATATTTACAACAACACAGATTTTATAACAATGTTGACTGACCAAAGCTCATTTCAGGGGGGAAAAGGGGAAGTGGTTGCTACAAAAAAATTGGGTTTTGGATGTAGAGATAAAATGGTTGTAATTATTTAACAATAGCAACATTTATGCATACATTAATAAAGTGAAGACACTCAGAGCAAACACAAAACATACCATTATGAAAAAGCTTCAATAAATCCAACAAAAAGCATGCTAGGCGATTTACACCCAAGGAAAAGATTCTGGGCTGAGAAGCTTACAATCTAAAGCAAAAACATCTTTATTTGAAAAAACATTAAAATAAATTGTATCAGAAATTGAAAATTAAGATTTTCATCACTTCCTATGCTACAGACATGGAAATTTCCAACGTTGCTGCTTTAAGCTGAGAAAACAAACATCAAATCCATATGAAACAAAGGCGTTTGGTATGAGTGAGCATGTCAGATAACTATGTAGGGCAATTTTCACTCAACGTGCAATACCAGTGCAGACCCACTGCATAATTTAAGACTTCTTAAATGGAGGCATTGTGCCATGGGTTCATTTAATTGTATAAGGATCAATATTTAGAGTGAAAAAGTAACATTTCACATTTATATCAGTATGTAGTGATGTATGGGGATGTTTGAGGCCAGAGTGAACATGACAAAACACATGTTAAATAGAATTTGGAGGCTTGAAACGTAAAGACTTGGATGGAAAGCGCACACGCACACACACACTCTCTCTCTCTCTCTCTCTCTCTCCCTCCTTCCCCAATATTTCTCTTTACACAGCGCATCGTTGGCCTGTGGAACTACTTGCCAGAGGTGGTGGTGAAGACCAGGACTTTAACAGGGTTCAAGAAGGAACTAGATAAATTCATGGAGGTTAGGTCCCTCAATGGCTATTAGCCAGGATGGGTAGAAATGGTGTCCCTAGCCTCTGTCAGAGGCTGGGAATGAGTGACAGAAGAGGGATTGCTTGAAGATTCCCTGTTCTGTTCACTCCCTCTGGGGCACTTGGCATTGGCCACTGTCAGAAGACAGGATACCTTTGGTGTGACCCAGTATGGCTGTTCTTATATCTCCTCCCAATGAGATACCCTGTATGTGCTTTCAACAGCTCCGCATTCTTAAAGCCAGGGCTTCTCAACTAAAGCATAAAGCAAGAAGCAACAAGACTTCTACATATGGCATTTAGGACAGAGTCTACCCACCTCAACCTCCACTACTGCCCTCCATAGGATGGCAAAAAAGGCCAGGGGGCCAAATTATTTGCATTTATGAAGATCCTCTAGCACCAAACAACTAGCTTGGAGTTGCCGTTCATCCTTTAGGCTGAAATAACAGCCTCACTCACTTGACCCCTTTCTGGATTTTGTATTTCTTAGCTAGCCTCTCCACACTCTACGGCTGTGTCTACACTGGGCCACTGATTCTGGAAAAGCAGCCGCTTTTCCGGAATAAGCTGCGAGCTGTCTACACTGGCCGCTTGCTTTTCCGGAAAAGCAATGATGATCTAATGTAAAATCGTCATTGTTTTTCCGGAAAAACTATGCTGCTCCCGTTCGGGCAAAAGTCCTTTTCCGGAAAAACTGTTCCGGAAAAGGGCCAGTGTAGACAGCACAGTAGTCTTTTCTGCAAAAAAGCCCCGATCGCGAAAATGACGATCGGGGCTCTTTTGCGGAAAAGCACGTCTACATTGGCACGGACGCTTTTCCAGAAAAAGCGCTTTTCCAGAAAAGCATCCTGCCAATGTAGACGCGCTTTTCCGGAAATACTTATAATGGAAAAACTGTTCCGTTTTAAGCATTTCCGGAAAAGGGTGACAGGGTAGACGTAGGCTACCTGTACAGAGCTGATAACTTCATTGTTATGCAAGTGGAATGAATTTTCCCTGTAGTTCCTAGTTGTACTCAAAAGAAGATGGACTACATGGAAGAAATAAACGTACTGTAGAGAAAGCAACAAGCTAACTCCATTAAATTATCTCAACTGTGGTGCTGGGGAACAATACTGCAAGTAAGTATCCAGAAACAGCTTGGCTGTGTCTATACTGGCGCGATCTTGCACCAGAGCTATGCAAATGAGTCTCAGCGTGGAATATCGCCGAGCCTCATTTGCATAACTAATGAGCCGCCATTTTGCAGAAGAGGCTCTTGCGCAAGACGGAGCTGTCTACACTGCCCCGTCTTGAGCAAAGCCGTTATGCTGATTATTTTCAGGCATAACGGCTTTGCTCAAGACGGGGCAGTGTAGACAGCTCCGTCTTGCGCAAGAGCCTCTTCTGCAAAAATGGCAGCTCATTAGTTATGCAAATGAAGCTCAGCAATATTCCATGCTGAGCCTCATTTGCATAGATCTGGTGCAAGATTGCGCCAGTATAGACACAGCCTTTTAGTCAGGGTGGAGTGTAGAACACGAGTGCCATATGGCCAAAACTAGTATAATTACTTTTGAGTCTGCCCGTTTCCAAACTGGCTGACTTGATCATTCCAATGATCTAGGAAGCATTTGATACAAAAAGAAAATAAAACATTGCTGGCTGTTCCCCTTCATCAGAGAGCGAGGGGAAAGTGCAGTTTGCTGCATTCCTCACTGTGGCTAGGAAATGCAGGAGGGAGACGAACCTGGACCTACCCCCAGGAGACATGCACCTCTCACCAGACTATGCCTGCTGGAGCTGCAGCCGCCATGAGGAGGCACTCCCCCTGCCTCCCTCAACTACTGCAGTGAGGGAAGGCTATGGTAGTCCTCTCTCCCTGGGGCAGCCTACATACCAACTTCCTCATCCCCAGACCAACCCAGAGCAGTTATTTAAATGAAACATATATACTTTCACTTTATTTAAAAAAAAGTAATTGAGCAACAGCAGGCAAAACTCTTAAGTGTATATACACATACACACCTATGCATTAGAAAGCTAATTAAATATGTTATTAGGTTTAAAAGAACATGGATTTTAGCCAGTAAAATATTAAGATACTGGGTGTAGATCAATTAGTTGATTGAGAAGTCTGCTACTCTGTTCTTGACAATAAGATTCTGTATTATGTGTGTACAGGTGTTATAAACCTATATTTACCAAATATGCTCAAATTTGGTAAATTCTATTTTACACTTTAAGGACAAAAGGGGCACTGACACTGTGTAATCCCAATGAGATCAATGGAAGGACACAGAGGGTAAATTAGTACAGTAATCATCAATTTACACTGAAAAACTGTGGTTAACACACACCTAATTTTGACAACAATTTAGGTAGAAGACAACTAAATAGAAGCTTGAACACTTGGAAGGCATAAAAAACCCTGAAGTTTAAAATGACTGAGACAGTTATTAGCCCGAAATACACATCAGATTTTTAAAATAGACAAATAATAGTTGAGGCACTGGTTCTCCTACATATTAATCTGTAAACTGCTTTGTAAGAGAATAAAGCTCTCCTTTGCCTTCTCTTCCCCTCTCAACTTCCTCAGTATTTTATTCAGGAAGTGTATGAAGAAGTGCAGCATGAACCACTAGCATAGAAAAATCTTTCGTTAATTCAGTATGAACTATTACAATTTAAAACGAAAGTATCAACCAAAAAAACCTATGTACATGCACAGAAAGCTGGTTTATAATGCACACCGAAACCCAGGAGACATTTAGATGGCACTGTTAAACTTTCTTCAAATAAAAAAAACAGCACTTACACGCATGTAAGAACATTCAGTACAAAAGATGTGTTAATAAAAATAATCAACTAATCAACTGCAATAAGGCAAGAACAGAATTCTTTACTAAAGAGACTTTTTTGTTGCAACTTTTTTTGCTTCTTTATAACCACTCACATGTACATTAAATGTATTTTCTCACCCCAGTAATTAGGATATACAAGTCACCTTTGCAATATTGTATACCTCATTACAATATGAAGAACACATCCTCCGTCTGTTTCGTTATTTCCTTCTTTATGAAGTACCATACTATGCTTATAACACTGAGTTATGGCTTAATATTCATTTGAATGGATTCTCTGAAAGTGTTTTCCAGACACAGTACTAGCAATAGTAGCAAAGTTAATGCCAATTTTTTATGTAGCCAATTTTTTTAAATCCATATTAATGCTTTGATATGAAGGAACACTTAGAGGGCCTAAGTCTTATTTTACCATAACTTTCTTGCTTTCTGGGTTTAAGTCATATACTTTAATGTTAGCATAACTCAGTTTCCTATACTGTACTGAAAACTCCAGAGCTGATCTGTTGAAACAGCAAGTTACCTCTCACACACAAAATAAGCTTTACATCTACACAGCTACTGAAAATTATGGGAAACTGAAATATTTGGAATGTATGAATACAGAAGGTTCTGAATATTATGTAAAAATGTAAATTAGTCATCAAGTACAGGTTATACTGGGAGGGAGAAAGAGACACCATCACTTGCGTTCACACAGCTAGCTGCACATATATGAACATGGTATATACAAACTAACCAGAAGTGGTACATGGAACAAAGCAAAATAATGACTAAATGGAAAGTTTTGGGCTCCATACATTGTGGTAGGTGTTGATCAAATACATCTAATGGGCATGCATAATCAGAAATACTTTTCAGCCTAATGCATAAGAATTTAAGCACCTGGTCTCCATGCAGTTCAATGAAAATTGCTAGACTAGATGTCAGCATGTAGAATTTTGGAGAATAGAGCAGCACTATATGCAGTCTCCTTGTAACTTTTTAAAAAGTATTAATCTACATGAAGTTATTTATTTTTCAAGATATTAATGGCCGTTAGACCACATCATAATTATTCATTCACCATGTTTACTTTGTTTTCCACCAATGGATATTAACAACTCAAATGCAAACCTTTCAATATTAAGGTCTTATTGAGGTATATTATACTACTGTTTATATTATCTATATCCATGGCAGAAGTTCATACGACATGAACTTTAAAAAAAAATCAACCGAGGAAGGATGGGAAAAATTACCAGAGGTATCCCAAAATAGCTATCCTGCGTCTGAACAGCAAGCCCATTCTTTCAAAATATAATGGGCTCGCAATTCCGATGACCCCGTAAACCTCATTCTATGAGGAGTAAGGGACACTTCAGAATAGCAGGTTATTTCAAAACTGTCTCAAAATAAGCTATGCAAATTGCACAGCTAAAATTGCATAGCTTATTTCGAGCTATGGGTGCAGTGTAGAAGCGCCCGTAGAGCTCAAAGTGCGGTCTTCAATGGGATAAAACCAACAAACATGAACTGCATATAGATGTCAACAAATTTTTTGTAAATACAGCCAGTCCCCGAGATACGCGGATCCGACCTCTGCGGCTTTGCTCGGGGTGTTCCTGGTCTACTGGGGACCCCTCCCAGCAGACCAGGGACACCCCGAGCAGACCAGGGACACCTGGAGCAAAGCCACAGAGGCGCAGGACCCCGCCACCTCCAGGGAGCCCAGGAGCAAAGCCGCGGAGGCGGCGGGGTCCCGTGCCTCTGCAGCTTTGCTCCGGGTGTCCCTGGTCCGCTGGGGGGAGGGTCCCCAGCAGACCAGGGACATCCGGAGCAAAGCCGCAGAGGCATGGGACCCCGCTGCCTCCAAGGCTTTGCTCCAGGTGTCTCTGGTCTGCTCGGGGTGTCCCTGGTCTGCTGGGAGGGGTCCCCAGTAGACCAGGAACACCCCGAGCAAAGCCGCAGAGGTCGGATCCGCGTATCTCGGGGACTGGCTGTATTTACAAAAAATTTGTTGACATCTATATGCAGTTCATGTTTGTTGGTTTTATCCCATTGAAGACCGCACTTTGAGCTCTACGGGCGCTTCTACACTGCACCCATAGCTCGAAATAAGCTATGCAATTTTAGCGTTACAATAATTTGGAAATGCATGTTATCTTAAAATACCATTAGGCAGACACAGAATCTTAATTATTACATACTTTTCTGCCAAGGCCATCATTGTTATATCTGGGTGCAAATAACTCTGTTTTGCATAGTGCCTTAAATCAGAGCACTTGATACATTTTAATGACAACACATAACCAAAGTTCCCTGTAAGCTGCGTGCCTCTGCAGGAGCTCAGCCCTTTTCTGAACCCTGCACAGAGGTAGGAAGCTCATCTGATCGACAGGGAAAGGAGGGGGCAGGACAGTCACACTCTTCGGAGAAGCAAAACAACCACAGTAGCAGTTGCTGCTGCCCGCTATAAACAGAGGAGCTGACTCCAGCCTCTACTCCTGGGCTGGGCAAAAGATGATCTGCGGCTGGATCAGGCCGTGAGAACCTCAGCCAGCTCCCTGCCTGCCCCACACCCACTCAGCACTCAGAAAAGCTGGGTGCAGGGCCATGTGTGTGTTTGTGAACGTTAAGAGCCTGGAGGGAGGGGAAACAGGTTTCCCATGCTGCTGCTGCCCCCAGTAGCTCCCATGGGCTGGTTTTGACCAATAGCAGCTGCCTGTTTGCAGGACAGGCAGCATGTGAAATGTCCCTTCTCCCTCATCACCCGGGCTCACAGCATTCAGTTAAGAACAAACTGAACTCTTGCATCTCCCCTGAGCACGTACAGGGGCTGGAAGGCAGGACCCTAAGGAACCTGCTGGGCTGCTGGCTAGAAGCCAGGTAAGGCTCTAGCTTGTAAACCCCAGCCCGTCCTTCCCCTACCCCAACCCTCTGCCCTCCTACCCCATATAACCCAAATCTTCTGCACCTCTGCTCCAACCCCCATAGGCCTTCCTAGACACTGCATACACCCCTCCTACACTCCTCCTCAGGTCACAACCCCCCCCCCCCCCCCAAGGTCACAGCCCAAATCCGTGTGCCCCCTCCTGCCCTAGGTCACAAACCCCTACTTCACCCAACCTCCCTCCCATATACCACACCCCAATCTCTTATTTCAAGGTCTCAGAGCGGTAGCTGTGTTAGTCTGTAACAAAAAAAACTCCAATGTCCTGTAGCACCTTAGCCTAATAAAAATAGATTAATAGTATGAGCTTTCGAGGGCACAATCCATTTCTTCAGCCAAGGATAGTGTTCATTTTCTTTTTATCTGATTGAATAATATTGAATAATCGTAAGCATTGCTCCTTGTTAATTATCCCTTGTTTTAATATATTTTCTTCCACACCTATGGACTACTTAAAATATATATTTAGATCTACATTTTTTGTTTGTACTGGTGGGTGCACATCCACGCACTACCTTAATAATGGTGTTGCACATAAGACATTTCAACCCGTCCAAAAGAAAATTCAGCCCATCCAAGGATAGAAAATATTAGAAGGAACACTGAACACAATCCCTCTGGTGAAACAGGTACTGTAACTGCAATTCCCATTTAATAGGTACATGAATTGTGATAAAAGAAAGATTAATGAATTCACCCAGAGTCACCAGGATCAAAACCCAATTCTCCCATCCCTGGTCCTTTATTTTTAACTATTAGGCAATACTACCTGCTTACATCTTCAAGATTATTTAGTTTTCCCCTGGGAAAAAACCACATTATAAAAAAGTGCAATGAATATCATTAGCAAGAGATAGTTACAATCAGCCAATTAATTTTACTCAAGAATAAAACACAACATTTATATCCATGCCACACATATTCCTTCTTGAATACCACTTTATAATCAACAATGCTCTAAATATACAATGCTGGTGAAGTTAGATGTGTGTTAAATAACAGACCCTGTTTGTAAGAGAAAGCCACCTTTCTCTTTTCTGCTTAAATGGTATCATCGTTAGTTTCACAAGTAAGATTGAATCTAAGCCACACATGTGCAATATCAAAGGTAGCAGGAAGTAGGTGGACTACATAGTTTACTCTTAATTAAGGCTCCACAGTTGCCTGTTTAAACCCATCAGTTTGTATACCGTTGGTTAGATTATAAACACTTTGGGGCAGAACAATTTATTGAGGATGAATGTTGTGCCCTGTGCATACAGTAAGATACTGACCCCTGATGGGGGCCACTTGCCACCACTTCAACAGAAATAGAAAGTTATATGTCTGATCAGCTACTGCATGGGACAGAAATGGAAACGGATTGTTTCTCTGCAACCTGGAAGAGGCAAGATAGTCCACATGCATTACAAGGTACCAACCCTATTTGTGGCGCAAGTCATGCTTTTAGAAAAATACATATAGATTCCCAGAAGCCATGCTACTTATTAGGCAAATATTTTAAAACTTAAACAGTATAAGAACAACAAATTCCAAGAAAATATTTTTAAATTGTCCATGAATACTGGTTTACATTTCACATTCTGTTAATAACAGTGACTTTTAGCTTATAAAAATTAAAATCTTAAATCAACAGAAATTCAGGTAAAAAGAATAAAGCACTTCAAACATGAAAAATTTAGGAAAAACAGTCATGGTACTCCAAAGATGAACATTATGAATGTGGTGAAGTCCAGCATTTTATTTTTTTATTAGACTAAGAAACCTAGAATTCTTCTTTTCTGTGTTTCAAGGATTCAATTTTTGTTTCTTGAAAACAACTGCAGATAAAACTAACAGTCATTGCATTGTTATTTTTCCTTAAAACATACATTATGCAATAAACCAGTTAGTTAATAACAATGACTTCTGTACATGTTTTCTGTGTAAATAAATGAATTTTTTAAAATGGCCATAACAGAAGACTTAAGAGACAATTAACAAAAGGATGTCATGACTACATTAGAAAGCTGCATTTCAAACTTGGGACAACTTAACTATTAAATACACACTTTGGAAACTGTCCTCATTGTCCCCATGAAGTATATGTCAAAATTTTAATCAATACAGTACACAAATAAAATAAATGAAATTAAATGGAAACTGGATGTGTTTCACAACCTCATCTTATAAAGATGAGTTCATAACCATCTTAAAAATTAAGCCAGGTTTAAAATGATCTTGTCCTTAAACGTTGTCTAATTTTTACAATATTACTTAAATATACACAAGTACAGAATAAGACAGGAAATCTGGGATTATCTATGATTTTATGGTACCAAAAACATTTTGCAGCACCCAGTGTCATTCTCGTGAAGAATCAAAAATAATTCACACCAGTGGTTCACAACTATTTACATATTAGGACCCCAACACTTCTCCCATCTGCCAATATGGGAAGGTTAGGATAGTCATGACTCCCATAGTTCTTTCCATGTTCTGTGTGAAGTACCATTTACATGCATTATTAATTCAATTAGAGTTTTCACATGGATTTCTACAGGAGCAGAATCAAGCATCAGTTACAGTGGAATAATGTATACTCCCCTCTCCCCTGTCAGTTTCTTACACACATATAAGTAACTACTTCAGCAATTTTGGATTATTACCACTCAGTATCCTCTTTTTCTGAAAACATATTAATACAAAACAGATTGGCCTGTAAGATTTCTGGTGCAAACAATCAAGCACACTTTTTGGTCACTTCTTTGCATAAGGAAAACTAATACATATTTCCCTTTTATTAATGCTGAAGTTTTATCCCCTAGATAGAAATCTATCATAAATGACTACATATCTTAAACATTCAACGTGATGGCACAAAGCAGAGCAGAACACAGGTATTTTTAGACTGATCTATCCAACAAATGAGGATGCTACCTTTTTGGATTCTTTACCTTTTAGCAAATTTTTACAGTTAGTTGCCGATATTGAACAAAGTATAAAATCCACATTCAGACACACTGTTCCTTTTTGCGATCATCCCCATTGTAGAGCATACATATGAGAGAGATTAAAAACCAATAGTCTTAAGAGATTTCATTTTATAAAGAAATGGTGCACCAATTATTTGGTGATGGTTAGAGCAGTACAGAGAACAAAAGAAAAACAGTTGTGACGTCAACAATCTCAGCATTAGTACTCAGTACATGGAGATTCAGTGTTATTCACTTTTTCTTGAACAGATTTCAGTTACTCTAAATTTAAGGTATAAATATGCACAAATATGTACAGTACACAGAGGGATTTTTTTTTATCTGTAGTACATTTCAATAAGTCTTTAAAATACTAGAAAGTTAATACCTATACCACTGATTTGCTTGCTAATTTACTGGAATAATGAGGCCAACATCTTCAACTAGGAGGATTATATTGGAATACAAAATGTAAAGTTAAAAATTCCTTCCTCTCACTTCATACTCACCAAACGTAGAGTCCTGAGTGGCTTTATCTTGAGAAGAAAGCAACCACAGTTTTTAAACCTATCTTCTGAGGAAACTAATGGGAAAACAAACTAGAGCGTTCATCTTCATCTGTTTTCAAAGTGGTGGTGATAATGTAGAAAATAAAGTTGAACTCAGTTTTATTATAAATACACTTAACCCATTAATTTCCAGGTTACCATAAGCACAGGTAAACCAGGTATCCATTGGTACAGCATTTTATGCAATGTCGGTGCAAAGAGATAATTAAAAATCATCTGATTTTAAGTCTCGACATCATCCATTCAAGTCCTTGGCACAATCTGTAAATAAAAAAATAAAATATGTATTTTGCATAAAAACTGACCACAAATATTGTCACGATAACTTTAAGCAGAACTTTCAGACAGCATATGTTTGTGAAAGTCCTGCAACCATAATATTCCATTCTACACAGTAGTAAAAATAACAGAAGTTTACATTAAGGACTCCTTCACAATATGGTTTAGGCTTGAAAGGATTAGATCAGGGTATCAAACTCCCAGCCTGCGTGGCCATCCCCCGCCAGAGCCATTGCATAATCCGGCCTGGGAGTCCAGCACGCCAGAGGCTGTCTATTCCCATCCCTCACATCCTGCCCCTTCCCTTTCTCATCCCCTGAGAGTGCGACCACCGGGATTCCCAGAGAAGGGAGAGCCTGGCATGGGGCAGCAGCAGCGATTATGCCTCCTGCACTCCCTGATGGGTGCTGCAGGAAAGTGGAGCAAGTGCACTCACCAAGCAGGCTGTACTTCAGGGCTACTCAACTTTGGAAGCCCAGGGAGCCGCAATGATACTCACAGCACATGCCAAGGGGAGCAATTTAAGTGTAGTTGCATATACATGCAAATATATATGCAAATAGCTTCTTCCACACTGACAGGCATGAATAGAAAGCACTTCCCACAATGCTCTGGCGCTCCCGGCACCTTCTCCCTGGGGGCTGGAAATGCTGACACCTGTACCTGTCTGTTCCAGTCAGCCTTTCCACTTGCATCTTTCAATGCTCACCCTGCCTGGAAGATTCTTGCCGTTGTGGAGCATGTTCCCAGTGGAGGCCATGTCCAAAGGATCCCACCTGAGGGCCGTGTGTTGAGCCCCTGCATAAACCCAAACCACACCACAGGCCACAAACAAATGGGCCAAGAGCTGCATGCGGGCTGCGTGTTGAGTAGCCCTACTCTACTTCACTATAGCTCCTGCTGCTGCAGCGAGTGTGAAGGGCCCGACTGCTGCAGCTGCCCCAACACCAGCCCCCGTGGTAATTCCCGAGGCTGCGTCCCTCAGGGGATGGCGTGCAAGTGATGGCAGAAAGGAGTGGGGTTTGGGGAACAGGAACAAACATACTCTGCCCATCCAGGTCTCCCAGGCCAGACTGCACAACTACTCCCACCAGGGATGACCCGCAAGCTGAGAGTTTGAGACCCCTGGATTAGATTTTTATCACTAAATGTTGGCTAACATTGATTTCACCATACATACACAAATCAATGGGATTACTTTCATCAATAACAACCAAAAATGTACAGATATAGAAAATAAGAAAAATGCTATTTGAACTTGGGACGTTAAATTGCAGGTAACTGCCTAATCGAATAGTTGATGCATTTTGCATTGACTAATCAACTAGTTGATAGGTGTCTCCGCCTTTAAAGGTGAAAGCGCCACGTAGAGCCCAGGTTCAGCTGGGGACTCCCTGGTGACACTGGGCTCTGTGCAGTGCTGCTACTTTGAAATGCTGTGGGAGCCAGGAGTCAGACTCCCCATGATGTTTAAAAGCAGCGGTGCCACATGGAGCCCGGAATCAGCTGGGGACTCCCCGCTGATCCCAGGCTCTGTGCGGTGCTGCCACTTTGAAATGCTGCAAGGAGCCTGACGCCAGGCTCCCGTGGCAGCATATCAAAGCAGCAGCATCGCGTTGAGCCTGGGGTCTGGCCCCAGGCTCCATGCGGCGCTGCTTCTTTGAAGTACTCCTTCCTTCCCCTCTGCTGCCTCTTTGATAGAGGCAGCAAAGGGGTGGGGGAGCAACTAGTTGACAAGCTTGTCAACTATCCAATAAGCATTTGCTTATCGAATAGTTGACTAGTCCTTAACATCCTTGATTTGAACTTAGTTTGATTGAAGGATATTTTCTTTGGATATGAACATGCATGTCTGAATTACAAATGTGTGCTATCCTTCTGATGCCTAAAGACAGTTTGGTAATGGACTGCGTAGCCTGCTTGCCTGATTCACTGAGAAAAGGCAAGGGACACATTTTATACTCAGCAAGGCATAAAGGGGCATGCCTACAGACAAAGCTTTAAGGCTTTCAAGGCCATGGGTAGGCATCTTGTGTTTGGTACAAAGAAAACAGAAGCCAGATGGCAAAAGGAATATAAAAAGCAGTTACATCTTCTCCATTTTGTCTTCATCCCTGCTCCCTACCTCTGGAGTCAACATTTTATGAATGAAGCTCTGAAAAAAGGACTGAGTGAGTATCCAAACTGTGGATGTGTTCCAGAGAGACTTGCAAGCCAGCAAACTCAACCACATTGCCAGAACCTGATGAACTTTGAAGTTGCTGTATGTACGTGGCTGTTTGACCATTTAACATCTCTTATTTTTTTCTTTATAATAAACCCTTAGAACGGGGTGAGGAACTTTTTTTAAGTTAGGGGCCGCTGACAGACAGAAAAATCAGTTGGGCGGATGGCAGCAGGGACTGGAGTTCCAGCATGGGCTCCCCAATGCTGGGGGGAGGGAGCCATGAGACCTTGAGGCCAGATCCAGGCAAGTCGAGGACTGCATCTAGCCCCTGGGCCTTAAGCTCCCCACCCTTGCCTTAGACACTAAAAAATTGGTTGGCAGCATGGCATTTTGGGTAAGAACCAAATCTATATTGACCTAGTAATGTGACTGGCCCTTTCAGATCAGAACATCTTGTATGTGTGAGCAGAGTTTTAAAATAATTTCTCACTACATTGGACCTAGATGCTGATTGGGAATCAGAGAACTGGAAAACTGTGATTTCTTTTTTGCTTCTTGAAAAGCAGCATGAGGGATCAGAAGTACAGTTTGCGACAGGTTGAGAAGGTTACCTTCAGTGTTACCCACCACTATTGGAAGGACCTGCTTTCCCTTTTGCAGCCTGCCCTGACCTTCCCATTTGCAATAAGGGTTTCCCCAGGCACTCCTAATCACCCAAACATGTTTGCTTTGCATTGTAAACTGCAACACAACTGCCAGTGGTGTGTGCTTTAACAAAGACTAATAAGAGGAGTTACACCTTTGTTAAAAAGTAAAACAATACAAGTCCGTTTTTCCCAGGGATAGTAAGTCTCTAGGGCAGCTCTTTTTTTTCTCCTCAAAGATTCTGTACGTTGCTGAATTTGTTGCAGGACCCTACGAAAAATTGTTTTAAAAGGTATTTTCAATTTTGCCTTGAGATTCAGATCCCACAATACATGGCCAGGCAATGTTTATCAAACAACATATGGATACTCCACATACCATGATACATGCACTAATGTTATTCAGAAAGTATTCACAAGAAGAATTCTTACCCTTCGCCAGTCAGAGCACAACATGCCTGGATATGCCACTGGTGATCTTTAACTGAAGTTAGTTTCAGAAACTGGGATATTTCAGCTATCGTCATGCACTCTTTAACATCTTGTTTGTTAGCAAAAATAAGCAACCCTGCTTTCTTTAAGTCCTAAAGAGAAAGATGAATAGACCAGAAAATGTTTAGAGGTTTCATTATTTTTCTAATACTATTTCACAGATATTTCAGGATTATATTTCACCTGTGAAAAGGTGAGTGCTAACAGGGAGTTTAGAGAGGGAGTTCTCCAGGTAAAGGAGAAGCAGATACAGGACTCTTGAGGGAAGTGTGTGTTGTTATTGGGGCTTTCTTGCTGTGTGCTGAGCTTGTGTTTGTGAGTGAGGGTTGGTGTGTGGTTTTTTTTGGTTTTGTTTGTTTATTCCCGTGTTTGTGAATGAGGCTTTTTTTTCCCCCTCCACTTCCCCTTTGCCCTCCCCCTCCCCTTCATGGAGTGTGTGCTATGATTGGCAGGTGAAAACTGTTGGCTTCTAATTAAAGTTTGAATTCTAGAAGCCTCTGCTGATTGGCTGAGCCTTGGTAGGGGGAGGGACTTTAAGGCACTCCAGGTCTTTATAAGGCAGTGGGCAAGCGACCAAGGAGCTTGCGAACAGGTGAGTGCTAACAGGGAGTTTAGAGAGGGAGTTCTCCAGGTAAAGGAGAAGCAGATACAGGACTCTTGAGGGAAGTGTGTGTTGTTATTGGGGCTTTCTTGCTGTGTGCTGAGCTTGTGTTTGTGAGTGAGGGTTGGTGTGTGGTTTTTTTTGGTTTTGTTTGTTTATTCCCGTGTTTGTGAATGAGGCTTTTTTTTCCCCCTCCACTTCCCCTTTGCCCTCCCCCTCCCCTTCATGGAGTGTGTGCTATGATTGGCAGGTGAAAACTGTTGGCTTCTAATTAAAGTTTGAATTCTAGAAGCCTCTGCTGATTGGCTGATCTTTGTTAGGGGGAGGGACTTTCAGGCACTCCAGGGCTTTATAAGGCAGTGGGCAAGCGACCAAGGAGCTTGCGAACAGGTGAGTGCTAACAGGGAGTTTAGAGAGGGAGTTGGGAAGAGGGCGAGGTTCTCTTGCCTTTCTTTTTAAATCCTTTCTCCAGGACAGCAGCGATGGATGGTGATAGGTCTGCTGTTGTTACCTGCACAGAGTGTGCCATGTTTGTCTTCCTCCCGGAAGAAAGAGAGGATTTCATCTGCACTAAGTGCAAGCTGGTTGTCATTTTGGAAGAAAAAATTAGAGGACTGGAGGCCCAAGTGTTGACCCTACGCTCGATCAGAGAGGATGAAGACTTCCTCAACAGAAGGCAGAGTTTACTCCTTCAAGCACGGCAGGTAGAAGAGCCAGAGAGGGCAGTACGGGACCAGGAAGAGAACTGGCAGCATGTAACTTCTAGAAGGGGAAAAAGGCGAGCATGTGAATCCTCCAATGCTAAGAGCTAAGTAATCGCTTTCAGGCTCTCTCCACAGGCTCTGCAGTGCTGAATGCTTTGGAAGGGACCTCACAAGGAAGAAACCAGAAGGGAACACCATCTACTGGAAGGCATGGGATGCATAGTCCTAGGAATGGGGGTTCCATAGACACCACCCCCAAAAGAAAACAACGGGTGGTGGTGGTCAGGGACTCCCTCCTAAGAGGGACTGAGCCATCCATCTGCCGTCCGGACTTGGAATCTCGAGAGGTGTGCTGCTTACTGGGAGCTTGCACTCAGGATGTGACAGAGAGGCTTACAAATTGATCAAACCTTTGGATCGCTATCCCTTCCTGCTTCTCCACGTGGGAGCTAATGATACAGCCAAGAATGACCTTGAGCGGGTTACTGCAGATTATGTAGCACTGGGAAGAAGGATCCCAGAATTTGTAGCACAAGTGGTGTTCTCGTCTATCCTCCCTGTTGAAGGGAAAGGACTGGGCAGGGATCATTGAATTGAGAACGTAAATGCGTGGTTGCGCAGGTGGTGTCGCAGAGAGGGCTTTGACCATGGGACTCTGTTCCGGGCACAAGGATTGTTAGGAAGAGATGGGATCCACCTAGCGAAGAGAGGAAGGAGCATCTTCGCGGGCAGGCTTGCAAACCTAGTGAGGAGGGCTTTAAACTAGGTTCATCGGGGGACGATGACCAAAACTCTGAGGGGAGTGGGAAAGTCGGATACCGGGAAGAAATGCAAAGAGGAACAAGCAACAAAGGAGGACCCCTGATTCGAATGGAGAAGATAGGGCTATCAACTGGTTACCTGAGGTGTTTGTACACTAATGCGAGAAGCCTTGGCAGCAAACAGGAAGAACTGGAGGCCCTGGCCCAGTCCAAGAAATATGATTTAATTGGGATAACAGAGACTTGGTGGGATGACTCGCATGACTGGAGCACTGTCATGGAAGGGTATAGACTGTTCAGGAACAACAGGCAGGG